TCTGCTTGTATAGATCTTTTGGGTGCGATGAACGGCACTTGATCGTCGAACTCAACATGTGGGCCCGAATCTTTTCTAATTAGCTAGCGCTGGCTGGCTACAAGCAAAAATTGACGATCTGGTAAAAATCGCAGCTAACGTTGGACTACGTGTTAATGTTGATCTCCTCCAAAAAAAATCAATGTTTACAATGCCTGTGTGAAATTCGTCTTATTGTATGGTTCAGAAACTTGATTGGTCAACATTGAAATACAAAGAAAACTTCAAAGGCTAAGCAACAGATGCCCACGTAATATTTTGAGAATTTGGTGACCACTTCGAATTTTATATATGAAACTACTTCAACGACCATACCAAGAAGATATCAACAAACAAGTTAAGCGTCGAAAATATAATCAGTTTGGTTGGCCAGACTCTTCGAAAGTCGCACCACGAAATATGCCACACAACACTTCAATGGAACACCCGAGACAACAGACACAGAGGAAGACCATATAACATCTAGAGAAGAACGATAAAAAACGATAACCGTCAAATCTTTAAATGAGTTACGTTATATTACTAGAGATAGAAATAGTTGGAGATTCTATGTAACAAGTCTATGCTCCTGATGGAGTATGGCTTATAATATATAATGCTGGTTAAGAGAAGTAAGTTACTTTTTATTGTTTATTTTACACTATTTAAAGTTATACATATGAAGTACTTTCGTAAATCAGAACGTCTTCATGGAATTCGTGTTCTACGAAGATTTTTTTATAAAAACGTAAGAAAATTTTCTAACAATGTTTTCTAAAAGAACATTAATAGTTAGAGACTGTACATTTTAAGACGAAATCGTTAGTACCAATATTTAAATATAATGGGCACCTAACAAAGTTGCGAAGAAATTTCGATTAAAGATATTCGCATATAAGATTTGTAATGGGAAACATTTTTAGTTTACTTTTAGTCGAGTTTCGTGGATTTTTAATAACTTCCAATGAAATAAGAACAAAATTCGCTAATATCTTAGGATATTATGCTCACCTATTCCGATTTTACGAAAGAGTTACAATTGGTAACAGATGCGTTAAATCACACAATAGGAGCTATTTAACCCAGATTGATAAATCAATCATGTTAATTCATTTCTTGTATAAACTAAACTAATTTAAATATATATATAACATACAATTTTTTTAAAAGTTTATCCTTTCAACACTGTTGCAGTATACACAATACCCAACGGTCTTACTTCCAACGTGATGTGGACATCGGTCAACCATCGGAGCTCGTATGCCAGGCTATATACAGACGTCATAACGGATATGTTCACCCCACCCTAAGCAAATACGTAGCAGTGTTTGGACTACACGTAAATATCGAGTCATCAAATCTTTAGAATTTAGAATTGATATGCACAAATTGTTTAAAATAGGAAGACATTATAAAAGGCTACAGCTTTGTAGAGTTTGGTGAGATTGAAATTAATGACCAGAGAGAGAAAGTATTAGAATAGCAAAGAGAGACCTCTGAAAACGATATCTTAATCCATATTAAGATATAAGAACAACTACTTATTTTAAAAATAACATAGGAAGTAGCAACACTGCTTTCTTATTTAGTTCAACCTTTTTGAAATCGGTTAACTAATAAGCCAGCTCAAATCGCATGGTCGCCAAGACTGAAGATTTTTCTATTGTAAAAGATTTTTGGAAGTACATACAAAATTTCCAGTTAACTGTCAACGAATGATTTCATTAATTCTTCGTATTTCGTGTCGTCATTGTTGGCAACAAATACGTCACTTTTTCTATTTATTATTTTACTGTTAAAAGACACGAACAATTACATTTTATTCAGAATCATGTAAAAAACAAGTATTATTATTCATTTTCGAAATTTTAACTTAAAATTTTGTTACGTGCCTTGCATATATAAACCTAACGAAATTTTCATTTTGTCCAGAGTTGCCGTCAAAAGTAGTGCTAATCTTATTTGTTCTTTTGCGACATGCTTACAAAAGAATAGTCCTTATAATATATTGAACTCTGTACTTGCTAAAATAAGGTGTGTAGATTTCTTGATGTTTGTCCAAGACTAAATCTTCCAAGACTAACGCTTCTTATGTATTCCAAGGGCTGCATCACATCTATTTCCAGTGGCGGCGCTAGGAAACTGATAAATGCCTTGTAAAGGTTATAGACATATAAATTTATCTACTTGGTAAATGAAGTGTCAAATTTTGTATGAAAAGGATAAGGCCTTTTTACAAATAGTATTTAAATATGATGCCCAAAAAAGAAACATGGAAGCCGAAGTGTGTTATACCAAGGCTATAGATATTTTTATGGCGGTGATTGCTTAAATTTTATTTACATTGCTTTTATGTTAAAACAATTTTAACGTTATATATAACAGTTTTAAATAGAGATAAAAAAAGAAAAATTTTCGCAACCAATAGAGCTGTATAATCAACAAGTTAAGAAAGTTGAAACGCGTATAAAAACTTTAAGACGTTACGGTAACAGCGTTAAGGAGGAAGATCACATTGAAGATGATACAACCGATTACACTCATGACAATCTATTCGGAAAGTATTTAAACAGAGAGGTTAGGGAAATAATAATTGAGGAAAACTACAGAAAAACATCAGGTGTAGTTTCATTTTTTATTATTTAGTTGAAAAATCTTGTAAGATTTTTTGAATTGTCAATAAATTTTAATTATAATTGTCTTTATAATTAATTATAATTTAATTTCTAATTGTCTCAGAAAGTGTTTTTTTATTTATTTATTTATTTATTTTCCTTATTTCAAAATGTGAAACTCTTATTCTGATTTTGTTAACCGTAGACAAGTTGTATATATTAAAAAGATATCACCACAAAAGAAACTTCAATATTGCAATCGTATAAAAAAATTACGAAAATATTTGACAATTTATTTAATGTACTTTCGTATATATTTCTATGGCATGATACACGACTTTCATGTGCTATGGAAAATATCCAAACACCTGCCTGACAAATATCTGATATAAGGGTATATGACGAGATCGTTACTGCTATTGCATTAATAATGTTGAATAAGCAAAAACCTGTTACAGCAAATGTGCAACCGGGACAACAAATATCTCATTTAAGGAGATATAATATATAGAGTATATATATAGTATATATAGAGTTAACATATTCAAACAGATTATTAAACCAGGACTACTCTATGACAGTATTGCGTTTTGCCAAGCGCCAAACTCAACATTAAAAATTCTTTAAAGAGGGCAAAATATCGCCTTAAGAAAACTGGTTAACGCAAGAGGAGCGGATATCCACAGAGATCTGAGAGTCGATTCAGTCGAAAAATATATTAAAGGTCGTGCATTGAAACTGTTCAATATAATTGACAATCACAATAATCCAACACTGAGCAACCTAAAAATACAGCGAAATCTAATAAACACAGGCAGATACAAAGACATCAGATCCATCGTATTATAAACCCCGTATTCAGTTATTCTTAGTGTGACTTAAAACTGTCCACAGTTATAATAGAGTTAAGGTGATGAATCACCAACCCAGACATCTGCATATCATATAATAATATATATATATTGTTGTGAGATAATAAACGGTTATACTAAACTCAAGTTAACTATTTATATTACTTATCAGAATTCAGTGATCACGAACGACCACGTAAATAGGGTAGAACGCAACAATATTATATATTGTACGGTTCCAAAGGTTTTGTGCCTGATCGGGTCGATCAGGCTTAAGTAGAGTGTAATGTGACGAATTTGGTTTGAGAAATATCAAATCGTAACAACACGAAAAAATTGGCAGCAATAAGAGAAACTAATGTCAGATATTTCTCTCAGAAAAAGGAGGTTTTTATTTTAGTTTAGTTGGAGTTTGTTTTAGTTTGTAGATTGGAGTTCAAGTTTGTATTAAAAGTTTGAGCGATTTTGTACGTCAAAGAGCAACGCAAGAGTAAATAAAGTTACATAGTTATCAACAATTAAAGTAACGTGTTTGCTTTTGGCATCTTTTCAATTATTGACAATCCAGTGAGACGAACGGGAGAATCGGAAACGAGTTAGAAAAGGCGAATTCGTAACAATTGGTGTCAGAAGTGGGATTGTCAATAAATTAGATAAAAATGGTTAGTCTGAACACGAATACGATATTGGCTGGTATTCAACAAATGATATTAGAGAACTCAGTAGCAATGTCACAAATGGAGGCTAGATAAATCGGAAGTACGTCAACAAGTGGAAAAGTTGAACGATAGATCTAAGTGGCTGTTTAGGTAAAATGGACGAGGTTGAGGATTTTAATAAGTCCACTTCAATTTTCTGGCAAAAAGAAAATTTGTGCTGTTAAGTTGTTGAAGACATGAAAGCAGCTGCGCAACAAAACACACAAATGGGCAATAGTTCTGAAAAGGTGCGAATATTGACAGAAGTCACACAATTTTCTTCATGTTCTAAGTTACAAGATACATTGTTACGGTGCAGTGTACCTGAAATTTATGTTAAATGATTGGATCAAAGGAATACTTCTGACGCAAATTCGGAAGTAATGAAAGCGAATGGAGAGGATTGCCAATATCACACTGAACCAAATGGTAAGACAAATTCGTAACAATGTAATATATGATATTAACAAACCAATTCAATCAGTTTTTGGTTTAATTGCCGAATTTGTTC